TAAAGTCGCTAAGTGCATGCAAGCCCAGAAACTTCTATAACGGGACAGGGCGCTGGTGACATGTGCCGTGTCCCGCATGGAGCCAGGGCTGCCAGATGGAGGGGAGCCCCTGTCGGGATTCGCGTCAACTCGGGGTGGTGGCGACCGGGGTGACGGTGGCGCGCGACAGACGGATGCGCTGCAGCTGCCAAGATCGTCATCTCGTTCCAAAAGCGGCCGTGTCATCCGCTACAATTGCGGCCTGCCGGGGCACGTGCTATTGGACTGCCATGTACCACGATGGCGTCTTCCAGCTTCGCTGCCATCCTTCGCTTCCCTACACCCTAAGGCGAGTTGCAACGCAGTCCACACTCGACCTCTGGCCTCATCTCACCCATCTAAGCACTTCAGTTCGCGTCCTGGCTGTGCGTCGGTACGGGGGAGTCCTATGCGTAATCGTGAGGTTCATCAGCTCCGACCAGATCAGTGATCGGAGCTGGCCCATCGAGTGGTAGCGGCGGCCGCGGGTTCATCTGCCATGCTTGGGTTTATTGAGGGTGTAGAAATTAGGATGCTAGTCGACACAGGTGCATCGGCAACTATTATCTCAGAGTTAATTTACAATATTTTGCCACCCAAGTGTCAGGTTCTAGACCCTGTTGAAGTACCGTGTTTCGCCACTGACGACGGCTCATTTGGTATTATCGGTCAGATAACAGGCGAGGTGCGCATCGCTGATATTAAATTGTCTGGGCACATTCTTGACTCCATGTCCCTGGCTGTTCCATGTTTACTTGGAACCGTTTTCCTAGGTAGGATGCCTTTGAAATTCCTCATTGACTGTGGCTGTTTGGATTTGCCATGCGGCTGTCGTATGGCATTTTTGCCTTCCCCCACACGATTGTGTATGGCCAACGCTACGTTGCAGGCTCTCACACGCCGAACGGTGAGAATCCCTCCTGGCGCGCAGATGTTAGTTCTCCTCCACTTGAGGAAGCTGCTCGATTTGGGAGCTACGGAGACTGGAATTGTTTTGGGTCCTTCCAACAAGGTCAGTCGCGAACTGACTTTGGTGGCGGCTCAAACGATAGTGTCTAACGACCAGGAGTCTTTTATTCAGGTTCTTCATGCTGGCTTGGACACCACGGTCATCCAGGAGGGTATGGTGTTGACTTATGCATCATCGGCACGCCCGGAAGTGGGTGTCGTTGGGAATGTGGGTGCTGAGCCTCACACTCGACAATCCCTTGATGTGGATGAAAGTTGGATTGACAAACTGTGCGATGAAAGTGGTAACTTATCCGCGGACCAGATAGGGAAGCTGATGCTTTTACATGAGTTTTTGGATATTTTTAGCAAGGGTAAATTTTGTATTGGATGCACGTTGCTACTGAGTCACCACATTGCTACGGGCGACGCGGGCCCTATCCAACAGAATCCCTACCAGCTGAGCCCGTTGGAGAAGGAACATGTTCGGCTGGCCATTGATAAGATGTTGGCTGCAGACATCATCTCACCATCCACCAGTCCCTGGGGAGCTCTGATTGTGCTTGTGAAGAAACACAACAGTAGCTTACGATTTTGTGTCGATTTTAGAAAACTTAATAATGTCTCTGGTGCGGATGCGTATCCCTTGCCTCGCATGGATGATTAGCTGGACGCCTTGACGGGGGCACGTTTTTTCTCCAACCTGGATCTCCTATTCGGGCTCTGGAAGTTGCCGCTTGATGATGTCTCATGACCTAAGATGGCCTTCCTATGGGGCTCCATTCCGTGCCGGCCATATTCCAACGGTTAATGGAACTGGTCCTGGCGGGTCTCCAATGGGACTCTTGTTTGATATATCTCGATTATGTAATCGTCTTTAGCCGCACTTCTGACGACCATTTGCTCCGTCTGCATACTGTCTTTCTCAAAATGCTTGTGGCTAACCTTAAATTTAAACCTCAGAAATGTCACCTCCAGAAAACGGTTTGGTATCTTGGCCATATTGTTAACGAAACGGGTATTGCGACCGACCCGGAGAAGACTGCGTGCGTTCGAACTTGGCCGATTCCCACCTCAATGACTGAGGTGTGCAGTTTCATCGGCTTTGAGTCCTACTATCGCCGTTTTGTTGCCGGGTTCACATCAATTGCAAAACCACTCCACCCGTTATCGGCTAAGGGTCATAAGTTTAATTGGGGAAAGAGGAGGTGGCGTTTCGTGACATCCGCGATGGATTAATGAACGCCCCTCCCCTGCGTTTTCCGATTTTTTCATTTCTGTTCGTCCTTGATACGGACGCTAGCAATACCGGTATTGGTTCAGTGTTGTCGCAGGTTGTTTATGGGGTGGAGAGAGTTATTGCATATGACAGTAGAGTGCTGTCTCCAGCCGAACTGCGTTATTGCGTTACGTGCCGTGAATTACTAGCCATTGTGGTTTTCATGCAGCAATATCGCCCCTACTTGTACGGCAGATGATTTGAGGTGCGCTCCGATTTTGCAGCGCTCCAATATGCGCTGTGTGTGGATCAGCCGTCAGGCCAATTATCACGCTGGCTAGTGATCCTGCAGGACTTATCGTTCCATGTTATGTACCGCAAGGGTTCTCGCCATACGAACGCCGATGCCCTGTCGCGATTACCAACGACCGTAGGTTGTGCATGTTTTTCAGGTTCCGGGTGATGTAAACTGACTGATATGACCTCACCCCATCCTCTCGCGGCATCTGCTGATGCGGCGACAGGTGGGACGGGCGCCGCTCCGGCTGCACGAGACGCGGTCCTTGGTCTGGATTAGGTCTTCAGGCGGAAGACACTTCGCTACTCAAATTGCGGCATTGTATGAGGGAAGCTGATGGGGGCACTGATCGACTGGGCATCACCTCGGTGGTTCTGCAGGGCAGCTTACTAATGCATTGGGATGGGGGGCTGCGCCGTTATATCATAGTTGTCCCCACTGCCCTGCTAGGCGAGGTCATTTGGGCAGTGCACGAGCGTCTCTTGCACCTAGGCGTGCAGACGATGCTGGCTACGCTCAAATGGGATTTCTATTGGCCGGCAATGTCCGGGGATGTGGATGATTTTCTCAAAGGGTGAATGCAGTGCGCTCGGCAGAAGCCACCGTCGAAACCTTGCCGACCCCCATTGCAATCGATCCTTGTATCGCGCGTCTACGAACTTGTTGCTCTGGACATCTCCACATGTCGAATGTGTCCGACGAGCCGGGGTTGCAACCTCAGCGGAGCAATTCTGTTCCGCCCCCAAGTGCTGCACGACTGACGTCCCCTGCACGGCCGCGCATGCCGGCTTCGCAGGCTTCGAGTGTGGAGGATCCGTCGACCTGACCTACTGCTCTCCGTGAGGAGCCGGGTTTGGCGGAACATTTACATATTCCCCTCAGGACCTTCAGGGTGAGCAAGCCAACCTCCCCTGGGCGCCCGGCATCACGCACTCGCTGGGAGGGACCGGGGATATTCGTTCTTCAAGCTGGAAGCTCCACGTCTACAAGCTGGAAGCTCTACGAGGCATCAACACGTGGTCGGGGACCCGAGTGAGAATCTGACCCTTCGTAGTTGTAACTCCTACGCATAGAATAGTTAGCTGGGTGGTCACCACCCTAGGCTGTATCTGGTGAAGGGGCAGTTACCCCTTTCTGTTACTGGGTTGATGTTACAATAAAAGTGTTGCCTCTAAAGAACAACATCTGCGACTCAGTTGAATTCACTACATTTACATACTAGATTTGAAGCTTTTGTGACTGCAGGAATGACTCTTTGATTATTTTGGTAAAGTCACATAGACAAAAAATAGATTAAATAATAGAGTACGACGTTTCGATTGCAACACAAGCAGCCGTCATCAGGAAGAACTAAATTTGAGAGAGAGACAAAACGCAGACAATGAGACACAGACAGACACACAAGCAGAGAGAGAAATACACAACATAGACACACAGAGACCCAATGCCTCTGTGTCAAGGCCTTAAATAGAGAGGGGGGGGGGCAGAGAGAGAGGTGGGTCTGATGGGGCAGCTGCTGAAGCAGAGAAATTAGCATGGCAATGAATCCACCCCGAAGAGACCAAGGGAACGAAGATCGAATGGCCCTATGAGAGCCTGGTAAATTTTAGAGAGAGAAATAGTTTGAGAAACAATGTGTATCAAATCTTTTGGAAATGTAATGTAATGCAACACAGAGTCAGCTAACACACAGTTAACACATAGCCTGGTTGATTACGATCTCCAAAGATTACTAAAATTAGAAGTTAAGTGTGAATTTCGACAAACAGAGACACACATAGAGATGTGTGGAATTTCACCCCGAAGCGGGCGGGGGAAAGAAAGAGCGAATGGACCTATGACAGCTTGGTAAATTTTAGAGAGAAATAGGCCATTTGACTTTACCGAAAGAACTAAAGAGCACATTTACATACGTAACATAATTTATATAATATTCCATTATATTACAATTAGAATATGTACATACACCTCTAGTCATGATTTCTTGCTACTTTCTGCTCGCCTATGGGGGCATGTTGGTGGCAGTACGGCACCCATTGGAGTCCCACGCCTGGACTAGAGTTCCGTAATTCTAGCAATCACCTGATGTTGATGGGTGCAACTACCAGCGAAACATCGGACCAAATTGTTAAATGTAATACATTGGCATGTTTGGCCACGTGACAGTTATATTTATTTGGCTGTGTCGGGTGGAGGAGGGTATATGAAACACATTAGCATCTGTGCGTGGTGACTGATAGTGTAGTTGGGCAGCTAAATGTGACTATTACTTTCAGCTTGTGACTTAAATGTAACGTATTGCTTAAATGTTCTATCATCCGCAAATGAGTGGATTGTATTAATGTTGGAAACCTTAACATAGCCTTGCAGAAGGCCATATTTAGTGGTGGCGGTAACAGATTGGTTACCATCAACTACTGCATATATTGACATTATCTTGAATATTTACTTTGTTATTTGGTTTTGAGTGTAGACAGGTTCCTATTTTGTAAATGTTTGGTATTTTAAACAACTTACCATCTGGATAAACTGTCACGGTATAGGTTGCATAGAAGCCTCGATTATTGAAGAACAAACTAGTTCCTAGATGCACAATCAGTGAGTTACCAATACTCTTGAGTGTATATCCATTTCCAAAATACTGGTATTTGTAGGCAATATCATTTTCATAAATGGTCATAGAATCATACCACCCGATTCTGCATGTATAAAAAAAGAATAACATTAATGAGGCAACATGCAAACAACACGATATGCAACGTCATTTCAAGGGAATAAAATACGTTTAACTTAAAATTCCGTTATAAACGATGTGTATATCAATTTTCCAATTGCTGCAAATCTCTGATCATCCACGCTCCTATCATCCGCAATGCCATTAATTCAGACCCTTTCTCTGTTTGAATATGCTTTATATATAAACTATACTGTGCACAACAAAACAGAATATCAATTTAATTTCTAGATATTAAAACATTAACGTAGCAATATTTGACTAATCCCACATAGGAATGGGTTACATTGCTCCTATTGAATTATGAAGGGACCATCATATGCGCATTTCTTGGTTTGGGAATACATGTTATCGAGTATATTTTTGTTCAAGAGTATGGTTGCTTTATCATGACGACTTATTGTTAAAACATATTCATTATAAATAGACACTTTATCATTAAAACAGTTCAAGCATGCCACTTACGCCTGGTCCACGATGGTGAGTGTTATTATAGAGTCGGGTGGTCCTACTATGACCCAGTAGCCATCATACAGAGATGGGTAATCATATGGATAGTTGGGGCTGGCGATTGATCCCTTGAGTTTGGTGATTACATGTGTTATTCCGTCTGCAATGTAAATATATGTAATTCATCATTATGACCACATCACAAGGATACCTCATTGAATGTCAACAATTATCAGAAATTATCATTATTATTGCATCACTTTAATCGTTACTGTGATGATTAACGACCATTATCAAACAAAAAAAGGTCAGGGGCAGGTCATAAAATTGGGAATCAAAGACCACCACATATTGACATATATACATTTACAAATATACATCTAGATGAGTGTTTAATATTAAAAAAACGTTTAGTCTTACATTAAAGAAAAACATTGATCACTGCTTGCATGTCATTCATTAGTAAATGTAACTTACCTGTAAGCTGGGAATGGTAAGTGAAACTTGCAAGTACCAAAACTACAAAGAAAATAATCGGCTTCATTTTTGTACTTAAAAACCTGAAGTAAATCACATAAACAATGAGTATAAAGCTTGCAATTGTGGATAGCAATGTGAATTAAAAACCATTGCAAAATTAGATTCTTCGAAATACATTCATATCAGTCGGCCATCATACAGTTTCTAAATACAATTTAAGTATTGCATGGAAAACCACTCCTGTCTCCGATTCTTAAATAAAGATAGCTTACAGCCCTTTTGGCAATCCACTGCAGGATGAAGGCCTCCCCATACCGTATTGGTCAGAGACGTCGTGAAATGGAGTTGAACTTTATTTATTTTCGCCTCAATTAAAAAGTATAATAACATCACTTTCGATTCGCACGGTTGGCTACGTACGGTGCGAAAGAAGTTCAACATACATACATATCAGCTACAGATCAGAGTCTTTACGTAACCACGATTGGGCCCATTGACAATCTATAACAGACAATGAGCTGTTGAGTACATTTAATAGCATTAACACAGGTCATTATTTTCAGATTTCTGAAACAACGCTGGAGTGAGAACGTACTCGAATGAACAATATGACATGGATCTTAAATATTCGCTTCATAACAAATGTCCCAAGTTGAAAATTCCCGTCAAATTACCACAAGGCTGCAGGAATTCAGCTCCCAAACTCCTACTACAAAATGTCTCAGTGCACAAGCAGGCCTCTCAGCAATGGATCGTCAGCCTCTTTGGATATATATTGGAAACCTGAACACTAGCGTGCCGCATTGAATTGGTCATGTCTTAAACAAATATTTTTGCTTTTCAACTTCTATAATTACCATGTCAGACTCCAAACAAAGAAAATATCTCAAAATAAACATTTCAAATGAGCGGTATGTTGTTGCATGACACACAATGATTCAAAAACAATTACAAAAATAAATACCAAAGGTGATGCATTATATTTTAATTTTTATTTGTTTCAACACAGTTGCTGAGCACAGGTGAAAGGCCTACACATTAAGTATCAGATAGGTAATAGGTTAAGCATGTATTTAAAATTAGACGGTTGTAAGAGCTTAGAAAAAGAGACCATGGTTATTTTGTTTTACGTATGTGACGTTTGAGTTTTTTGGGAAAATTACTGAAGGATTATTTGTGTATGTGTAAAGACATTACTTTTCAATATAATGGCATAGTTACATTGTTGAAATTATTTTAGTTTGTAATAAATGATTCCATCAGCCTGTACAATAAATTCCATGTTAATATTTTGATTACAGTCTTCTAGAGATTGTGCTTAATATGCAGTAAATGTACATTGGAATTACTAATGATTATATTTTATTGCTTAATTGTTATTAAAATTGATTTGGAGCTGTTTAGTTATTGTTTAGTTATGTGCGAAATTTGTTATACAGTATAAGAATGTGGTAAATGCAGTTGCATCAGAACACTTTAAATTAATGATTTGTTTGAAATGTATTTTAAACCACGGGCATTGCTATTTTTGTGTATTAGATTATTTATGCTTGTCAAATATATGACTTGTGTAATAAAGCACTTCGACGACGATCTTGGATTCGTGTCTTCTTATTTATTTATTTCTCGACGGCTGGACAGCTCCGCGTTCTTTCCACATAGACACCGATCGCTCCCCGTTCTGCGGTGTAAGTTGTTGCTGTCCCGCGCGCGGCTTGCTCACGCTCCCCGCTGGCAGACGGCGCGCAAGGAAACAGCCTCTGGACCGCCACGTGGCCGCTGGCGTTCCGGAGGCGCGAGACGTGGTCCTGCTTCCAGACTCCACACACTGACCACGAGCCTCTTCCTGCTTCCCCTTATAACCCCTCTCTCACATCACCCAGCCCCGCCTATAGCCACGCCCCCTCACGAACCTTCTAGATGGTTACCCACGAGCACCCTTGAGCTCTGCCCTTAAACTTTGGCCTAATTCATCCCATGTACCTAATTGGCTAATGGCTGAAGCGGTGGAGCCTATCCCACCGATCGGCGACCATCGGTATACTCTCGTATTAAATCACCCCCCCCCCCCCGTGTAAAAGACTAGCCGTCCCGGCTAGGAACGAGGCAAAGCGCATAATGCGAGAGACACCGGGAATGATGAACAGAATAACAACAACGATAACAAGATACATAACGAACGCAAGGTAAGTAAACGTAACAATCAACAAAAGGGAACGGATTTGGTATGGGTACACGACACCGGTCCATCTCCTGCAGCAGCATGAGGCCCCGCTGGTTGAAACCCAGCAGGAGGCGGAAAAGTGGCGGAATCAGCGCTTGGCGGAATCAGCGCTTGTTGCAGCAGATGAAGGCCCAGCCGGTGCGGGGTCGTCAGCAACTGGGGCGTTCAGGGTCTGTGAGTCTGTGGGAGGCAAAACAGGCCCCTTTGGGAGTTCAACCGGCAACTGAGGTAGCATATCGGACGCATCAGACCCCGGCAGGGTACTCATTGGGGATTAAGAATCAACGCGCGGAGAAAAAAAGGGTTTCAAACGAGACGTGTGGACGTACCAACGGCGCGAACCCGCCCGGATACGTACACATTGAGGAATGCATATTTCTATCAATGCCTGTGCAGCTTGGGAGAAGTACCCACCAGCACCTGTGGGCAATGGAGCCAGGCCTGGTCGCCCACAGCCCACAGCATGTCGCGATGCGACCGATGAGCACATCGCTCGTTAAGGGCCTGGGTTTTGGACGTGGCAATTTGTGCCGCCTCCTGCGCTTCTGTGACACGGCGATCAGAGTCGCGGACGTGTTCGGGGAGGGTCTGCACGGGCTCTTTAGCGGACGCTCCCAGTTGTGTGCCAATCGGTGGCACGTTCTTCCGACCATACATGAGGAAGAACGGCGAGTATCCCGTAGAAGCATGCGGGGCCATACGGTAGGCAGAGGGCACGCTAGGAATGTGAAGATCCCAATCGGCCTGCTTCTCGCTTACAGTGTGGCAGAACATAGCAGACAAGGTACGATTCAATCGCTCAACCATCCCGTCCGTTTGCGGGTGGTAAGGCGAAGTCTGTATCTTTTTGGTGTCCAAGGCATCACACACATTACGCCGCAACTTAGACGAGAAATTTCGGCCTTGGTCCGTAAGCAACCGTTCCGGCACACCTTTGTCCATCACATAACCGTTTAAAAATGCATCCGTGATGGACGATGCTGACTGATCAGGCAAGGGCCAAGCCACCGGCCAACGTGAAAAATATTCCACCCCCACTAACAAGAATTTATTACACCTGGCGGTAGGAGGAAACGGCCCAAGAATATCGAGAGCCACCAGTTCATTAAGTCGCGTAACCTGAATCAATTTCAAGGGTGTAATATATTTCTGGTGCGGTGGTTTTCGCCGAGCGCATTCGGGGCAGGCCTGAATAGACTTGGCAACATCGTCCATCATGCCGGGCCAAAAGTAATCACTCTGCAGCGTGAGTAGGGTTTTCTGTACGCCTAGGTGCAACAATTTTTCGGCGTGCAGCACCCGAATCAACTCGTGTCGAAGCGCGACGGGAACCACCAGACGCCAACGGCCCAACAGATCGTCTCTCCATATCAATAGACCGTCCTGGAAGATTGTCTGTTGGGAGTCGTCCTTGGACGAGGCCACCCGCGAGCCGTCAGCTCAACATCGCAACGAAACCAACGAGTCATCCAACAGCTGCTCGCGTATCCACACCGAGCGCATTAGGTTCAACGCACTGTCAGCCGGCCCCGGGCTGGCATGGTACGTGGAATCCGCCACCGCGGACATGACAGGCCGAGGGGGCTGAGGTAGACGTGTGCACCGATTTGTGCCTGACGCACATGCGTAAGGGGACCCCTGCGGCAACCTGGAGAGCGCATCCGCATTACCATGGCGAGAACCTTACGGTAATATATGCCAAAGGAGAATTCCTGCAATGTCTCAAGCCATCGAGACAGCTGGCCAGACGGTTGTTCAATCTTTAAGGAATACTGCAGGGCAGAATGGTCAGTGCGTAATATACATTTTCTGCTGTAGAGGTAAGGACGATATTGGCGAACGAAATGGACGATTGCCAATAGTTCCCTGCGTGTAACACAGTAGCGAGTCTCTGCCAGAAAGAGAACACGGCTACCATACGCTACCACCCTTTCCACGCCATTTTTGCACTGGAACAAAACGGCGTCAATGCACATATCGCTGGCATCAGTGTCCAGGATAAAGGGCAACGAAAAGTCAGGATAATCGAGGGTCGGTGCAGTCGCCAACCAATCCCGAAGGATTCTGAATGCCTGCTCCTCCTCCAATCCCCATGTAAATCTCTGATTTTTCGCCGTCAGGACGTGCAGAGGCCTCGCGATGGTAGCAAAATTCGGAACGAGCCGACGGTAGTAGGACGTAAACCCAACAAAACGACGCACATCCCCCACCGAGGTGGGGGTTGGCCAGTCACGGACGCAAGAAGTTTTGTCTGGGTCCGTGGTGACGCCATCGGAGCTGACAATGTGACCTAAGTAACGCACGAAGCGTTGCAGAAGCTGACACTTCTTAGGTTTAAATTTGAGATTAGCGGAACGCATCCTGTCGAAAACAGCCTTCAATTGCTGAAGGTGCTCCTCGAACGTACGACTGAACACAATAACATTGTCTAAGTATATGAGACATGTGTCCCATGCAACCCGACCAAAACCAGCTCTATTAAGCGCTGGAACGTGGCGGGAGTGGCTTTCAATCCCATGAGAAGACAGTTAAATTGAAACAGGCCTTGAGGCATACGGAACGCCATCTTCGGCTTCGAAGAATCATCGAGGGGTAGCTGCCAAAATCCTGAAGAGAGATCGAGTGTGGAA